GAATGCCGAAAAAATATTAAAATTGGTTAAAGAGGTTCAAAAGTACAAAATGTTGAAATTTGACAGCTTATCGTTAATTGATAAGAGTCTTGTTGATAAAAAAAATTTAATTTTAAAAAATTATATTTAAAATTAAATGTTTACAAACTCAATTAAATTTTATCTAAGATTTAATTGAATTTATAGAGGACTTGATTGCAAGAACAATTGATTTCTAAGCCAATTTAGGCTTTTATTGAAAGAAATTAAAGTTATGGGTCCAATTATAATTTTAAAGAGTTGATTTGACCAAATCAGGGGTTTAATTGTATAATTATTGAAGTTTGATGGCTAATTAGAAATTTAATTGACACAATCTAAAATCATGGACCAAACCATAAAAGGCGCCAAAATTAAAGGTTCCAATTATAATTTTGTTGGGGGTCTGATTACCAAACTGCGAGAACTTCAATGGCCAAATCAGAAAAACCCAAGCGGCACCGTTTCCACCATTCACTGTCTTCAAACAGCTGTGAATCTGTGACGATAATGGAAGGAGACGTTAGCAACGATAATGGAGCTATTCTTGAATCAATGGGGTGTGTATCGCGACTGACATCCCTCGCCAACGTGATGCACGCCAGCTTACCAAAAATGCTTGCGTCCTCTGGCTATAAAAGCCAGAGGGGGAGCCGAACCCGAGGAGAGGAGAAGAGGAGGACAGAGGAAAGAAAAGGAAGAAAAGAGAGAGGGGGGGAATGTAAGAAACGAAACTAGGCAGAGAAGGGGAAGAACTGGGCAACACAGGGAGAGGAAAATAGAGGAGAGGGTGAGCATAAAAAACGAAAAATGCAGAGACGAAACAGAGAGAGCACAGGAGAGAAAGGGAGGGAATATAGAGGAGAAGAGAGTAAAAAAAAAAAAAACAGAAGAGTAATGGTGGAGATTACAGAGGGGAACAGAGGATGAAGAGGGGAGAAACAGTGGCGTATCTGCAATGGGGAAGACAAAGAAAAACAGTAGCGTCACCGGGCTTCCCAGCCACCACCACCGTGAACGACCGTGCCCCCATTCTAGGTAACACTCTTCTCCTTCTTCTCGTCTTCCTGTTTGGTCTCTTGTATGCATACCGTGTGCTGCTCAGGTTTCTGCAGCAAGGAAGATAATTAACCGGTTACTGTGCATGAGCACAGCAACCGGCTAATTATAATTAGCTAAACCGTATTGTTCCACGCCTAAACGTGCATGGCTTGTTTTTGGTCACTGGCCAAGGGCCAGTGACCAAGCTGGGCTAGCTAGGTCCGGCCCGGCCCAGCTATACAGATGGCTGGTCCAGCGTGGCCATATGGGCCAGGTTGGGCCTAGGCTGAAAATAAAAAAAATTCTTTAAAAAAAATGTGATTTTTTTGCAAATATTTTATTGTATTTTGATCAATATTGATTTGTATTTTTATATTGTAAGGATACAAATCTAATATTAAAATATTTAACTTTCATCAAAACATTAAAACAAAATTATTTTCATACATACGGCCAAATCTCTCAAAAATAAATAAAAAAACCATATTGTATTTTCATATAACAAAGAAAATTTTAAAAATATGTATTAGCATGCATTTTAACTTTAATAATCAGTTTATTAAAGTCACGAGAACTAGGTCAATATTTCAAAAAAAATTTAAAAAATATTTTGTTTTCTTTTAATATTTAGGGTTACAACCTTATATATAAGATGTATTCCAGATATTTTTTTTTGTTGACGTTAGAATTACCCGATAAGATAAGGATCTCCTTATCGAAAAAGACTTTTCTTAAACCATAGATGAACCAACAACTAAAAAACACAACAAGACCTTAGATTTATCAGACAATAAAACAATGCAGCTTACCTTAAAGAGGGTGTATTTAGGGTGCTAATACCTTTCATTTACGCAATCAGTCTCCGTACCTGATCTCTGAGACCAATTAAGGTTCCTAGTAATTAAAATACTAAGTGACAACTTCCATTCTATTTTTCCACTAATAAAAGATAATAATTCTTTCTCTCCCCACATTTGCTATATTTATAAAATTTTGAGGGTGAATATTTTCACTGTGATGTTGTACACGTGCGATAGTTGATGCCATAAAAAAATATATTAATGAAACAAATCTAATGACATTTTTATATATTAATGAAATAAATCTAATGACATTAAAAAAGATTATTAACTATAACTTGAGTATATTATACTTGCTGCCGAAAGATGATGGATGACTCACTTGTTTTTGACAACAAGGATAACTTACTATGGTCACTGATTGTTACTATTCTTAATATCATTACATCCATCCTATTAAAATTTGTTTTATGATATTAATGGTGTCGGAACTTCAATATGTCTTGGGGTATTTTTCTTTATCTTTTTTTTTTGTCTCTTTTCTTTCTCTTTACAAATTAAAATGAGGAGAGGAGACAGAAAAAATAAAAATAAAGAAAAAAATCTCACAATTATTATTTAAAAAAAAATTTTAAGTGTTCCTTTACATTGATTATATGCTTATGGACTTGCACAAATTAGTGCTTGGCATAACATGTTAGTTTAAATTTTGGATTTTTATTTTTATTTTTGTTGGGAGTTTCAATGGATTTCAACGATAGTTTTTCTTATTATATATTTTATTATTGTGGGAGAATGTAGTTTTTATATTTTTAAGATGAAAATGGAGTGTTTATTAAAAGAAAAGGAACACTAGAGCCAATAAAAAAAAATGACTCTCCAATGTTTAATTCACATCACGATCCCTTGAGACTCCACCAATACCTGATCTTTCAGGCTTCCCGAAAGAGGAGCCATATCTATTCCATTTCGGTGGCCCAA